GAGAGTGGAGCAATGCTATCTACAAAATTTAACCTGTACCTTTCCTCAATCTAGTTAGTACTACCGTTCGGTTTAAACTAAATGACCTTGAAATTGCAGGGCAGACTAAAGAAAAGCTCCATTCTTTTCCGGACAGAAGCGTCCTCAGTAGATGCAAAGATTAAGAATAGGAAGTTGGCCCTGTTATCAAAGTAGCTGAATATAAGCCCTTTACTCCAATCACGCGGGAACCGAAACAAGGCAGGTGTCGACCAGAAGAGCAGCATACTACTGGAAAGAACAAGGTAAAGACGAATCGGTTTTGAAGAGGAACTGCTCCTTCACCCTTACATAATAACTTTCTTTAAAAAAGCGTTTAAAAAGAATGTAGAAAATATTGTACATCAGAGATGCCCTGTAAGCAACCGGGTCACTCATTATGATGATCACAACAAGCAACAACACAACACATAGCGTACTGTTATCATCATGCGTCTTAATACACATTTACCCACCTGGGATAAGTGAATTTCACACATACACTACAGCTGTAGAAGCAAATACTGGATTTCCATGAAAGCAATCCCAAGGCTGAATACAAACCTAAGATCTCAAGGAAATAATTCTACTGCTATCAAGCACATTCATCGTGTGAGATGGTATTGAAGATACCGAAGATTTTATAGTCGATATATTAATTCATGCAAGGTAGCAGTAGAACAAAAACCTTACAAGGTGCAAAGCACAAAAATGGCGCACGAATAATTGCTTTACAGCATTAGACAAAAGCGCACCGATTATCATACCGTCACTTCGGCTCCCAAGGTCGGCAGAAATTCGGTTGAAATCCTTGCCGAAGCATCCGGAAGTAAAGTCTTCGCTTTCCATCAGGAAGCGAGACAAAAAAATTCAGATGATGCCGAAACGTCGTTAACTTTTATGTTTAAACGTAGACGAGAAGAGATGCATCCAAAATCTAACACACGAATCTGAAACCGAGTGAGGAGTGCATCGCCCGAATTAACCAGTTTCGAGAGAAGCCATCTTCATAAAAAAAATTAGCGTTTCAGTGATGATCGAAATACTTTGAGTAATTCGCTAATGTCGCTGTGAATTCTACATTTCCAGTTAAATTCGGCTGATTTCTAAAACCCTCTAAACTAAAATAATTTATGAAATTTCGTTAAAGAGTTCTGACGAAAGATCAGCGTAATACCACTTGGTTAACAATGCTTCTTTACTTTACGTAAGAGTTTTAGAATATTTAATAAACAAGTACTTCATTATAAAACACTGCCGTTGCTTGTCCCATGCCCGGACGAGAAAGGACGAAGGGTGGGAATCGTAGCAAGGTACCCCATGAAACAGATCTACGTAGCCATCACAGTATGACTGCTGTCGAACGCTAGACCGGCTCGGGTTTTGTCTGGGTTACTAAAGGCCCCGCAAGTTGCTGGGGAACTGAGGTAGACTGCGGATAGTAAGTGATCACAACTTGCTTCAAGTCTTCTAGCAATGCTGTGGGGACACAGCAGCACGACAACGGCTGCCAAAGAATGTCTCCAACTTTATGAAAGTACTACCCAACAACGATGTTGCTAGCCGTTCTGAACGGAGGATGCGGAGAGAGGGATGTGATTACGTCAAATAATCTGCTATGGGAACTACACCCACAGAGGGAGCTAACAGTCAGAGATTTGAACACCTACTCGCCCAGGGGAAAGAACAGGAGTTAGTTGACGAGGCCACAAGGTATCACTCCACTAGTCAGACGATCATCAACGATGCACCAGGACTATTAAGAGAGAACAGGTGAAGTTCATGTGCCTTCCAGTCGTGTCTACTAGTGAT